TTGACCGAGAGGTACTATAACTCAAGTTCCGACGGTGATGGGTATTCGACTCTTACCTAGATAACTAGGTCGAATTCAGTCACCCTGGGGGGGGAGAATTCTAGAGGCGGTTGCTGTGATCAAACATTTTCCGTGGTTTCTCCGATCTATACTCGGTGAATGCGGGAATGCTACGTTAATAAACATTCCGCTATCCGCGCGCGATATTTACTCCCTCACCGTTGTACCCTCCTCTTCCCCTACAACACATGCATTCACTATATATATATATATATATATATATATATATATATATATATATATATATATGTATGTATGTTATATGTATATATATGTGTATATATATATGTATATTATATGTGTATATTATACTGTATTATATATGTGTATATTATGTGTATATATAATGTTGTATATATATGTGTATAATATGTGTAATATATGTGTAATATATATGTGTATATATAGTGTATATTATAATGTGTATCATATATGTGTATATAATATGTGTATATATAGTGTATATATATTATGTGTATATTATATGTGTATATAAATATTGTATATATAATGTGTATATATATTACTAGCTAATATATTATGTGTATATATATGTGTAAATATATATATGATATATATTGTGTATATATATATGTATATATATGTTGTATATATATATATGTATATATATGTGTATATATTATTATATGTATATATATGTGTATATATATAAGTATGTATATATATGTTGTGTTATATGTATATGTATGTAATGTGTATAATGATATGTGGTGTATATACTATATGTATATATAATGTGTGTATATAATATCGTATATATATGTGTGTAGTACTATATATATGAATTATATTGTGTGATATATATATTTATATATGTGTGTTATATATATGTATATATATATGTGTGTAATATATATATGTATATTATGTGTGTATATATATAGTATATATTGTGTGTATATATATAGTAATATATGAGTGTGTGTATATATATGTATATTAATAATGTGTGGATCATAATATATATTATGTTGTATATATCGTGTTAAATATATTGTGTATATATATGTCGTATTATTGTATATATATGTTTAATATATATGTTAATGTGGTGTATATAATTGTAATATATACTGTTGTGTAATATATATGTTAAAATTATGGATATATAGTACTTCCATGTGGTATTGTTATATTGTGTAATATTTATATTTGGGTGTATTTATTGTAATATATATTGTGATAATATAATGTGTGATATATATGTATTATATGTTATATATATGTAATGTTGTATATGTATATATATGTGTGTAATACTATGTAATTGTGTTATCATATTGTATATTATGCTGTTTATGTATATATAGTGTGTGTATATTGTTTAATTGGTTATATATGTATATTCTTGTGATATGTAGTTGATATATATTGTATATAGTTTATATTGTGTATATGTGTATATATGATATATATGTGTTAAGTGATTTGTGGCATATTGTGTATCTGCTTAGTGTTAGTGATATATGAATTGTATATAGTGTTGTATATGTTAATTATATATGTATGTTATTTATATATGTGGTGTGTATATATATTTAATATATAACTGAATATAGTATATTATAATATTCACCTCATTGAAATGCCAAAGTTGCCCGTGAGAAAAGATACATAATAGCCATCAAAATCTAGAATTGAAAATTTTAGTTGGTACTGTGGTTGGCAAAGCGTTTAGTTCAGATGGAGCACGGATATTGAAACATATCCCGGATATCTTCGCAACTACACATCAAGACGACTATGAACGATATCCAGTCGAAAGGCTGAAAACTAAATTTTAAATTCCTAATTTACTGTTAATGAATACGTTTGGTAGAGAAACTCAGTCCATTTGTTTATTGATTTTGAGGTATATTGGATCACAAGATATAATACATAGAAGCTTCGACTGGTACAAAATCCCTAATATGATCGGCTGGAACTGTAGGTGGCATTTCTGTAAGTTATTTTGGTGGACAAAACAAGTGGTAACGTGATTTCGGTTTATTTTTTCTTCTTCGTTCTGGTTTTGATACTGAGATATCTTTAGCCGAGTACTGAAGTGAGTTGAATCTTTATGAAGGTAAGTCTGTGTACAAAGTTGTTTGATAGGAAGCTTATGTGGTGTGTTCATTTAATTTATGTTAGATACGTTATGAGTTGTTTTTATTACTAATGAGCAATGGTGCTCATTTGGTTATTCTTAATATTTCTTTTGAAAACATTTGAATTTATTGACACTTGTTTTGGAGCGGCATTGGTTACGAATCGGCATGAGGTATAATGTATTGGGCGAATGAAGTGAATTTGTATAGGCGTTAGTGCATTGAAGAGAGAGGTGGTTGTATGAGTTTTTTTAATTGGATGAGTATGATTTTTGGACCTGTCGTGATTTTATCTCACGTGTTGTTTACCAATTGATCGTGGGTGTGTGAAGCAGGTGTTCTGAATGATTTGCCGGGCAAATGAGTGATTTGTATAGCGATTCAGTGATTTGAAAAAGAGAGAGGTGGTTGTATGAGTTTTTTTTATGGGGTGAGTTTGGGATTTTCGACGTTGTGCATCATATAATCCAACGGGCTGGACCGTTCTAACCAATGGATCGGGGTGTGTGACGGAGGTGTTCGAAGGCGTGCGCGGCCGAGCGCCGCGGAGGGTGCTGTCCAAGTGGTGGAGGTGAGAGGAGAAGTGTAGGAAGGAGAGATGGGGAAATGTGCCAGGCAGAACGGAGGACGATCAGGACGAGGAAGTGTACGTGGTGTTAAAATTGGCAGGAAACCGGGTGCCGATTACCAAACCAGAGACGACTGCGAAGGCCGAGTAGTACAAAACGCACGTGGCAACCGAAGGCAGGGTCGGTCGAAGATATGGCGAGATTGGAATGCAGCGTAGTGAGCAGAACAACAACTAAAAGCACACTAAATTGGGTTGGATTTAAAAAGAACTGCACGTTCCAATTTTTTATTGAATTGTAAGATTTTTATTGAAAAATCCTGTAGATTTTTTTATTCGAATGAATCTGTAAGTTTTTATTGAATGAATCCTGTAAGATTTCTTTATTGGAATGACTTGTAAGATTTTTATTGAATGATTGTACGATTTTTTTTGGAATGAATTGTAAGATTTATTATTTGAATGAAGTCCTGTAGATTTTATCTGAATGATATGTAAGATTTTATTGGAATGATATGTAAGATTGTTATTGAATGATTGGGTAAGATTTTTATTGGAATGAATTGTAAAGATTTTTTATTGGAATGAATCTGTAAGATTTTTAAGTGAATGATTGTTAAGATTACAAAACAAGAATATTAAAAAAAGGAACATGTAGTATGTTTAGATCAATTAAAATGGGTGCAAAGATCTAAGCTGATAGATCACACAATGCTGGGTTTGTATGGGCTTGTGATAAAAGTTTTCTAGCATATTCGTACTTACTTAACTAAAAGACTTGTTTCAATCCTTGTTGTAATGCCTAATTGTATTTATGTGTAAAAGAGTAAAAAAGTTATACGGGGAGACCTTTTGAGCATGGATATAACTGTGGCGGTAAAAAAATGCCGTGAAGAGATGATTTAAGTGCTAACAGGTAAAAAATGACTACAAAGATGGGGCATAGACAATGCCAACCATCACAGGATTAACAAAACTCAACAAAATATGACGTCTTACGATGTGGCCGCCACTGCCTGTGGTGAAAGCCATGGTTCAAACACAGAGATGGTATTAACAGAATGGGGACAGTTTAGGACCTGTTGAAAGCGCTCACCACGTTATGCCGGCAGCCAGATCGCCGCTTAAACGTCCAGCCGAAAGGGCAAGACAAAATTCTATGGCGGCTTC